GGGAGGACAGAGGAGGGGGGGGCACCCGGGCCCCAGCCTGCACCGGCTCGCATGGGGGACGCTCAGCAGAGGTGAGGGTTTTCAGATACTCTGGTGGGCGGAACGCTGTGCTGTCCCCCACTGCCACTAGACCTGCAGTGGTCTAGGTAGGGCTGAGAGGTGACCCACATTTGGAACCACGTGTTTATGCATCGGAACTACGGATTTGTCCCGACAATAACCAAACACACCGATCCAGCCGCAGCCGCGCACTCAGGACCCGTGGAGGAGAGTCCAGGACAGTGGAAGTGACTGAGACGGACGTGGGGTGAGACGTGCCCCAGGCGGGGCGACTCTTAGGTCTACCGAGGCACCTGGGCAGGCGGTCACCTGCACAGGTGGGGACGATGAGGGCAGCTGTTGGGACATGTGGGGAGGGGATTCATGGACAGGCCGGAGGCTGGCTGGGTCCGTGCGGCTGCAGACGGACGGAACGTACCTGGGACGGGGGGCCGTGGCACACTTCGCAGGTTCCGGGTCCTGCACCATCTTGCTCAGGACGCTGTGGATCTGGGAGAACCTGGGCCGCTCACCCGGGTCCTTCTGCCAGCAGTCCAGCATCAGTCGGTGCAGGAGGGAGGGACAGTTCCTGGGGGGTGGCAGCCGGAAGCCATCCTCCACAGCCTTGATCACCTGGGCCACAGGAGTGGGGGACACATGGAAGGCTACCTAGGGCTCTTGAATCCTTCTCCACACACGCCCCATCCCAAGGAGGACCCAAATAGTGGCCGAACAGAAGCAAGCAGACAGAGAAGGGGAGCCCAGAGTTAGGAGGTCAAGGGTCAACGGGCAGAGGTCAAGGAGCTGGGGACTGAGGCCAGAGGGTAAGAAGACCAGAAAACGAGGAGCAGGAACACAAATCACTCACATCTTGGCCAGACATATCCCAGTAGGGCCGCTCCCCAAAGGCCATCACCTCCCACATGACGACACCAAAGCTCCACACGTCACTGGCAGAGCTGAAGTGGCCAAACTGGAGCGTCTCGGGGGCAGCCCACAGCGCAGGGCTCCGGCCACTCTGCAGGCGGGTGGGACAGGCCGGGCAGGTGGGAGCTGAGTCATTCTTGGCTTCCCCAGCCATGGAACCCCAGATCCAGCTTCCCACATCCTCCCAGGCACCTCCTCCCAGGGTTCCTCCTGGGGTGGACATGCACACTGACCACAGAGGGACACGCTGCATTTTCTCCTGGCTACCTGGGTGGAGTGCCAGGGTGGGAGAGACGCTGGCACGGCAGTGAAGGGGAGCACAGGCAGGAGTTGCTGGGGAAGGGAGCCCTCACCATGGTGGTGTAGACGGCCTCCGCTCGGTCCCGGGGGCCCCGCCCAAAGCCGGAGATCTTGCAGAGGGGGCCGCTGCTGACCAGCACACGGCGGGCCGCCAGGCCCCGGTGAACGTAGCCCATCTCTGACAGGTACTTCATGGCTGATGAAAGCCCGGGGAGCAGCCCCATCAGCTGCCCAGCCGCCAGCTGCCCCTCGTGACGCTGTGGATGGGGAGACCGTGGCCAGGCTGTGCACTCAGCCCACGAGCCACTTCGCCCTCTTAAGGCTGCAGGTTACCCTGTGGCCACCAGGGAAGCCAGGGCCAGCCCCCACAGAGAAGGGAACCAAGAACAAGGGCCCACCAAGGCCCAGGCCACTCACCCTGAGGAAGCCGTCCAGGGCCCCGTGGCTTAGGTACTCTGTGACGATCATCAGCGTGCTTCCTGTGCCAGGGACGGGGACACACGTGCACTACGCTGCATGCTCCGCCTCATGTGCACACGTGTGCAACCCCGAGCCAGAGCCTCGAGCGCCACGCTGCCCTACCCCAGCCACCCTCCTCACAGCCTGGTCTCCCTAATGCAGAGGGCCAGAGGGCAGGCTGTGTCTGCAGGGGACAAGGCCTCAGCCAGGCTGCAAGAGGTGGCTCGGAAAGACCCTGCATGGTCAGAGTGACTCCCCCGCCCCCTAGACTGTCACCAAGCCAGGAAGAGCG